AATTAGATCATAAAAGGAGCGATTAAAAATCCCAACGGCAGACTTGTTTTGGCCCCATGCCAATGATATTCCGAATGAATGAGATGAGCCATGACCTGAAAGTTGCGCTAGACGCAAGAACATCTCCACGTCTCAGTGTGTTTGTGTATGTGTATGTGTTTGTGTGTGTGTGTATGTGTGTGTGTGTGAATTTGGGGGTTGAGAAGAGCTAAGGATAAAGTGAGAACGCCGAGTTGACTGCTTCAGAGCCGCTTCATTCTGTGGCCGGTTGAGGTGTGTAGACAGGAGGATTGAGCAAACACATAAACCTGTAGACAGATTTGTCTCTGTGGGGTCTCATGTAGAAAATGAGACAACTTCGGCCGTTAACAGTAGGTTGAGGAGACAGAGTAGGGCAAGTAGGTGGAGTGTATGAAAAGTGAACAACTAATAGGCCAGGATCGGTGGGTTGGGCCTGCTTTTGCAAAAAACGGCCAATTGAAGTCGTTGTCGTCGTGGCAGCGATACACTTGCCCCTTTCAGAGGAGGGCCCGAGGTAAACACAACCGCCTCGGCTGATAAGCGGACACCGGAATTGGGTCTTCTGTCAAATTTATGATTGGCGCCCTACGTCCTCCTTTTCACTCGTCGAACCTCAGTCACGATTCATTCTACACTTTTTCTCAATTCCATCTCCTCATACTCTCTCTCTCGATCTCCTTCATTCAACATTTTTTATCTTTATTTTTCTCTTCATTTTCTGTCTTATTCTTCTTCTTCACTACTCCACTTTAAGCATTTCTATTATTTCTTCATTTAGAAACATATGTATACACTTAAACACTACAATATCCATTCGCCATTTTTCTTTTTTTATCATTATCATGGTCAAGATAAGCAGTAAACTTTTCATTCTTTAGAATCATATCAACTTTCTGCAAAGTCACTAATCTCAGCACATTTGATCTCAACTCAAACGTCACACCTCATCTCATATCAGGTCAAATACTTTCAAAATATCTAAATTGAAATCATCAAATATCAAGGAATTTCATCTGATATGATCTCATCTAATCTGATCTCAGATCAGTTCATTTCATCTCATCTCATCACATCTTATTTCATTGTTAGGGGGAACTTCATTTCGAATGAAAGTACATGATGAAGAGATTCGTTTGTCGTTATCAC